AATTGCCCGTGGGTATTAACTCCTGATAATTCCCGTGGTACATAGATAATTTTATATCCTACTGAATTTACTGTATTCTGTCTATTTTTATAAAGGAATAAGCCATAAATCAAAATTTCTATTTTTTGTCAAAGTGTTACCTATTCAAGGTAAAAGCGGGTGTTATGGAAATCCTTAACTCCCTTGGGAGTTATGATATCCTTAACTCCCTTCCTTAACTCCCTTGGGAGTTATGAAAATCCTTAACTCCCTTGGGAGTTAAGACCCTGTTTATGATTATCGTAACCAAGGTATTATATGGTTTTAATAGTTCACTAGGATATAAAACAATTTATATCCTACTGAACTATTAAAACCATATAATACCTTGGTTACGATAATCATAAACAGGGTCTTAACTCCCAAGGGAGTTAAGGATTTTCATAACTCCCTATTACTACCTACTATAACTATTACGATATCTTAGAAAAAACGGAAGTAGCTATCTCATTTGCTAAAATCAATACGTTCCATAATTCAATAATCGATCCATTCCGCGAGGTGGTAGACGCTTTTTACTCATTGGGCGTCGATCGGTGAGATACCACCATGCCAGAATTGAGTAGCGCTAAGTGGTATCACCACGTTCCGCTACTGCGCTGGCAGTCCGGTTCCAACAATGAGTAACAGGCGATGATGGCGCCTCCAGGATCAAAATATTCCGGAGGTAAAATACCCGACCACTCGGATCTCCGGGCGTCGGGTGATCCTGGGGGTCCTTCATGCAAAGATATAAAGAGTAGATCAAAAACTCAACTCAGAATTGATTTTAGCAATATAAGAGGAATAAGTACAAATATGAATTCAGTTCACCAACATCTTGAAGAACAAAGACCTGACATCCTTGTTCTCACTGAAACTAAAATCAGTTCTGCAACACCTATTGTGAACTATCTTTATCCCGGCTATGACCTACACCACCGATTTCGACATAATTTTGGGATCTGTGTGTACATTAAAAATGACCTTTCATGTCATCGAGAGGAGAAGCTAGAACCAGCTAACCTTGATATCATATGGCTAAAATTCACCTCAAAGTCATCGACCAAGTTTATCTGCTGCCTCTACCGACCGCCATCTAACACCGAGTACCAAAACTTTTTCGCGACATTATCCGAAAGCTGTGATAGTATACAGTCAAACTATCCACAGGCGGAAATTGTCTTTTTAGGCGATTTCAACGTCCACAATATACCCTGGCTGAAACACCACAACAAAACAGATAACGAAGGCAGAGCAGCAGAAGCTTTTGCCATAAGTTGTGGTCTAACGCAGCTTGTCGATGAACCTACCCGTATCTCAGAAAGGGGCGAATTTGCAGCGCTTTTAGACTTGTTGCTAACCACAAATCCTGACTCGTACACAATTCAAGTAGATGCTCCACTTGGTTCGTCCGATCATAAACTTATAATAACAAAGTGCGAAATGCTCATCCCACCAAGCCAACAACCACTTCCTCGTAAAATGTGGCACTATAAATCGGCAAAATGGAATGACCTAAAACAGTTTTACCTGGATTTTCCATGGCAAGAGGTTTGCTTTAAAACAGCTGATCCCACTATTTGCTGTAATGAAATAACACAAGTAATCTTATCTGGAATGGATGCATATATCCCACATACAACTAAACGTAGAGCTAATGCAAAACCTTGGTTCAACAGCCAGTGTCAAACGGCTGTACAGAAAAAACACAGAGCATATAACCTTTGGAAACGACAACAAACCGCTCAAAACCACACAGAATTTATAGAAGCCAGAAATAGTTGCAAAATTACTATTGACTCCGCTAAAGAAACATACAATCAAAGAATAAAAAACAGGTTGCTGAATTGTCCAAGTAGTTCTAGGTCCTTTTGGTCTCTTGCAAAAGCTGTTGGATCTAACTTCACCAAGTCATCCATACCACCACTTACAGATAAAAATAATCACTTAGCCACAACATCAGAGGAAAAAGCCAATATGCTGGCCCAAATGTTTTCCACCAACTCCAACCGAACAGTGCCAAATGGAAAAACTCCACCGTTCATTGAAAGGGTTTCCCATAGTATGCCAGAGGTACCCTTTTGTCACAGAGAAATACGAAAATCCCTTAAAAAGCTAGATACAAACAAAGCAATGGGTCCGGGTGCCCGGATGGCATTCCCGCAATAGTACTCAAAAATTGCGCCAACGAACTCACCCCAACTTTCGCAAAATTATTCAATTTGTCTTACAGGCAAGGAGTATATCCATCATCATGGAAGTCTGCTGCAGTACAACCCATTCCAAAGAAAGGAAAAAAGACAGATCCGTTAAACTATAGACCAATTGCTCTACTTCCGGTGATATCAAAAGTAATGGAAAGAGTTGTGAACAATCACCTAACCAAGTACTTGGAAAAGTACAAAATTATCAACGATAAGCAATACGGATTTCGAAAATATAGGTCAACTGGCGATTTACTTACATACGTCACTCACTTATGGCAAAAAGCGATTGAGTTGCGGGGTGAAACAAGAACAATTGCCTTAGATATATCTAAAGCATTCGACAAAGTTTGGCATGAAAATCTGCTCAACAAGCTCAAAGCAATGGGATTATCGCCGAAACTTTGCACTTGGTTTGAAAGTTACCTAAAGGACAGATCGATTTATGTTGCACTGGATGGCCAGAACACCAACTCTTACCAAATAAATGCTGGTGTGCCACAGGGAGCAATCCTTTCGCCAACTCTTTTTCTGATTTACATAAATGACCTCATAGATAAAACAGTAAATCCACTTTATTGCTTTGCAGACGATGGCAATGTAGTCTCCTCACTCATACCACCCACAGGTCTTTCCGCACGTGAATTCCATCATCTTAGACTAACTCAAATATCGCAGATAAATAACGACCTGGAGATAATAGAGGACTGGGGTAACAAAAACCTTGTACAGTTCAACGCGCAGAAAACCCAAGCAGCTCTGTTTTCAAAAAAGACCAGCACCGGTGAGCCAAACATCATGCTATCTGGAAGTGCTGTCACATTACAGAGTCAGTTGAACATCTTGGGGGTTACTGCAGAGACCAACATGTCTTGGCACAGCCACGTGGCAGATATTGCTAAAAGGGCGTCCCAAAAGCTGGGGGTGCTATTTCGTACAAGACATCTAAACACACCAAGCCAATTGCTGACACTCTACAAAGCCCAGATTCGACCAACTATGGAGTACTGCTCACATATATGGAGTGCAGCACCCAAACATACCTTAATGCTTTTGAACACCGTGCAAAAACGAGCTATCAAGCTGATCAATGACCCCGCACTTACTCGTAACTTGGATGGTCTCGAACATCGCAGATCTGTGGGCGATTTATCTCTCTTCTACAGGTACTATCACGGAAAATGCTCTGAAGAGTTGGCACGTATGATTCCACCGAGAGTAGCGCCTACCAGGCGAACCCGTCAAACAGACGGTAACCATGAATTTACTATCAAACTAGAGGCACCAAGAACCTCATTATATCAGAATTCATATCTCTGGAGAACAGCATCGCTGTGGAAGAAACTCCCTGCGACGGTTTTTCCTGCAGGTTACAACCTGAACCGTTTCAAGACCAACATACACCGACATTTCCGCGCACTCGCCGCTTCTCGAGCGTGATAGGATATTTCCTTGCGAGTGCGCATATACGTAAAAAAAAAAAAAAAAAAAATTAGAGCTAATAAAAGAAATTTGTAGATTTAAAAAACAATTAGTGCATGAAGCCAATATTGATAACATATTGAACTACGAAAAAATAATCGAGATTAAAGGTTATTCAAAGGGCCTGATTATCACCTTCATCTTGGAAATACCATTGGTCGAATCGGATCTCTATCACTATTATCAATTATTTCCGATACCAATTCCAAGCGAACAAAATCCTGATTTCTTTATGAACTTTCCACACAAACCATACCTTGCACTTAGCAACAAGTACTCTTATATGGACCAAACCTGCAACCAATTGTTACCCAACGAGTACTTATGTAAAGAAGCCCATACTGCATACATTGATCATGAGCCTCCATGTGCAGTCCAATTGATTTTATACAAAGAAAATACCACTACTTGCCACCCTTTCCGTATCAGACTACAAAATGTCCAAATCACTAAAATAACGGACGGAAAATGGATAATCACGACGCCCGAACAACTAATTGTCTCAGCATCTTGTCCAAACTCTAAGGACAACGTACCGCTTCATGGTTCCTACTTAGCCGAATCTACAAATGAATGCAGCCTACAAATAAAGTCAATTACTCTACAAACTTATAAGCCCAATCGTTTGACTTATGATGATGTATCCTTGCCTACACTGAATTTATCGATGAATTATTACCAAACAAAGAAGTTTGCTTTTAATCCACCTACACTTGACCTGAACTCCATCAACTTGAAGGAAACCAATGAAATTGCCACAACGCTTCAAGAACACAAGAGACGACTACAAGAAATATCCAACCCAATGGAAATGCACCAAATAAATTTTTGGACAATTTTACTTTATTGTATTTTAGGAATACTATGCATTTTTACTGTCTATAGATTACTATTGAAACATCGCCTTAAACGTGCCCAAAAAGCCTTGTTAGAAGACGATATTGTAATTTAACAATTTTACTTTTACTTATTTAGTTTAATCATATTTTTCTTTTAGCATTTTCTTTATTTTTTCCATTGTATAAAACCATACCTTTTTTGGTATGCTTTTAACTTAGGATGGAGGAGTTATATCCCGTGAGAACTCCAATTCAGCATTTATATTGTTCTATTCAGCTTATTTTTTATATTATAAAAGGAGTAATTTTTAGATTTAAGTCAGTTCTATTGTATTAGTCAAATAAAGTTTTTTAAAAACGCTCTCTCGTGTACACCCCTCGTAAGTAATACCTCTGTTTTTTGAGGAGGTATTGTTGATTATAAATAAATAGTTATTTTCTTTCGTATTGGATTTTATTTTTAAATATATTTGTATAGGTATTTAAAACTATCTATTTAAACTTTTATAGTTGTTTTTCTGTTCACTTATAAAACTATCAAATTTTTTTTAAATTTTTTCTGACAAAAAGCTGGTCTATTTATTGCTTATTTATATTTCTGAAGCTAAATCGTTTGTTCCTTTTGATTTGAAAAAGAACTACAGAATATAATTATGATTTGATTTATCCTGAGCTGGTCGAGTTGGTTGCTGGAAATTTAAAAAAATTATATTTCAATTAGCAGTATGCACATGATTGTTGAGGTCTCTTTTTACCATGCTACTTCCGCCAGTGGCCGAACCTGTAAATGAAAAACTATGTACTAATTTACTTGGAAACATAGAAGAAATTCACCTTGACCCTGTCCCTGACCAGACCCAGCTACCTCAAAGCTGAAATTAGCCGATCCATCTACATGGCCAGATTTGGATCCAAAGCCAGAGAAATTAAGAGGAGTAGCTTCAGATAATGTCTAAAAAAAAATTTTTTATTTGTATACCAAGGCCGCGAAATGCCTTTTTAGCGTACCTACGTAAAGAAAAATTATTATTAAGATAATCTCGAGAACGCTAAAAAGTTTCGCGGTCATGGTATACACACTATTTTTTGTGCAACTATAAAAATTATGTAAAGTTAGAGAAAAATTGTATGGATTTGAAACATTTTGCACGTCAGATGTGGTGGCCTGTGTAGCGGCCGAGAAAGCTCATTTTGCGGACGGTTGCACAAAAAAAAAAATATAGAAACCCAATGTAATAAGTAATAAGCTAGCTAAGAAATCCATAATCCTTATCAAAGAGGGAGCCCAGGGCCGCAACTAGAACCCTCGGCGCCCAAGGCAAGCCCAGATTTTGGCGCCCCTCCACCGTCTTCTCAAAAGTAACAATAGATATATTTTTTGATGCTTTGGGTTTTGCTTGAAATTTTTTCAATACATTTTCTAAATATATAATTTAGACACATTTGTTGGAAACATGTTCCAACAATCATGCTATCTCTTTTTGATGGCAAAATATTTTTATACATATAAAGTTTGCAACACTGCAGCGTTGTCGTCATGTCTATTTTGTCATGTCTGTCAATATATTGCGCGCCATTTTTTTGTCATTGCAGCAGTGTAGCTTGGAGCTTGTCCACGTTAACAAGCATCCAGAAACCTTTTCACATTTTAATAAATTTTATAATCTAGCTCTGCCCTGTTGGGCATCTAAGCAAGCTCTGGCTTCTTGTCATCTTGTAGTAGTAATTGTAAATAGTGTAAATATTGTGTAAATTGTTGTAAATATAGTGTCAGTGAAAAGCGCGTGTGTTTTAGTTCCCTATCCAGTCGATCATCCAGTCCACCTAATTATACAGTCCACTAATTATCAAGTTATTTATCTTCCATTATGTGGTTTTGCACATAATTTTGGCCAGTTCGAGCCGGATACTGGATAGTTCGGAACCTAAAAGTGCTTTAAAAACCCTCAAAAAGTGCCTTTTTAGTGGTTATTGATTGTTCCATCGTGATTTTTGGCGCCATGTGATGCAAAAAATCAATCATCCACTGTGCAGTCTGCACGTGTCTCAAACAACGTTGGGTTCCACGTGCCACCAGCGAAGGTTTCCGCCGGAACCGGAAGTGCGTAAGTAGAGTGGGGCGGAGCAAACAAACTTCACTTGTCAAATTCAAAAGGGTGCTTCTTTTTCTCGTCTGGTTCAACCCAAGTCACCCCGGGTGCAGTATCCTTGCTTGGTGCAATGAAGTACAGCCCCGGAGCAACGAACATGAAAGTGAGAGTTCACCACCCCGACAGCTTAACCTCAAATTAAATGTCAAACATTTGTTTACGTTTTGTTGTTTGTTGTTTGTGTATTTTGGATTTTTGCAGTGAATTTGAGTGAATTTGCATTATTTTTGAAAAACTGAATTTTTCGCATTAATTATTGCTATTTTTTCATTATTTATTTAAAGGATGAACAATTATCCGTTTTTCGTTTTGTTAAGTAGTTTTTTAAAAAAAAAATCTAATTTATTAGGTAATTTTAAATTTTGTTTATAGATTTCTTTTGATATTTTCTTATTTTTTTGATTGTAAACTTTGTAAATATGGCTACCAAAAAGCAAATTGATAAATTATTGTCAAAGAAAAAGCAAGCAATCGACTCCATGGTTAGAATAAGTCGTTATATTTCCGATCACAAATCTGATCCTGACAGTGAGTATAAAACGGACCAATTTTTAGTTCGGAAGGAAATATTGCAGGACAGTTTTCAAAAGCTTAAAGACATTCAAGTTGAAATTCTGTGCCTTGATGGTAACTATGATGATTCAATTGATGATGTAGAAACTCTTTTTTATGATGTCATTGTAAGTATTAAAAATTGTTTACCTAAATCTAATTTACCAGGACCAGCTAATACTAGTAATTTAGCAACTAATATTGCTCAATCGGTTTCAATTCCACCTACTCAAAGTAATAATTTTATTTCTGCTGCTAAATTGCCCCCAATCGAGATACCTACCTTTGATGGAAAAAATTTAACCAATTTCAAATCTTTTATCGATATATTTAATGCTGTCATCGATAAAAATCAACAGTTAAAAGATGTTGAAAAGCTCTTTTATTTGAGAAATTATTTGAAGGGTGAGGCTTTAAGCTTAATTGATAATCTGCCACTAATAAATTCTTCATATCAAGGTGCCATAGATATTTTAAATAACAGATTTAATAATGAAACTATGATCATAAATTCACATATTTTTTCTATTTTGGATATTCCTGCCATACAAAAAGGTACAGCTCATGCACTTAGAGATTTTGTAAGTCGCATCAAGCAGCAAATTGGAGCTCTCAAAAACCTAGCCCAGCCTGTTGACAACTGGGACATGGTGATGATTTGTATTTTAAGTAGAAAAGTTGACCAATTTACCAACAGAGCCTATCAAATAGATCGTGATAGTTCCAAATTGCCGACTTTGGATGAATTCTTGGCCTATTTAGAAAATAGAGCTACAGCCTTAGAGGCAACTAGTAGTACCCCAGAGCATAAAACTAAAGAAAAGGTTTACGGTTTATTAACAAAACAAACCAATGTAAAATGTCCCTTTTGTTCAATATCTGGACATAAACTGTATAATTGTAAAAAGTTCAAATCCGTACTAGTAAAGGATCGTATATCTTTTGTCGACAGACAGAATTTTTGTAAATTATGTTTGAATATTCATTCTGGAAAGTGTAAAATGTTGTTTCGGTGTGGTATGTGTCAAAAGGAACACAATACCCTGCTGCATTTGGACAAGCAATGTGAAAATAATAATTTTCCTACTGAACGCAGAGTCATGTATTCCAATGCCTCACAGCAAGAATCTGTACTTTTACCTACCTTAAAAGTAAAAATTAAATCTAATAAAGGCAAATATATTTACGCCCGAGGTCTGGTTGACACCGGCTCTCAGATTTGTTTAGTAACAAACAGTTTAGTTGAAAAGCTAGGATTAAAAGCCTTTAATAGTTCTTTGAATATCACTGGCATATCGGAGACTAAAACTAAAATTAATAAATCAATAAATTTAAATATTGAATCTTTGGTTTTTGATTATTCAAAAAACATAAAGTGTGCGCTTGTTGACACTATTACAAGCAATTTGCCTAATGTAAGTTTTGATATTTCAGAGTTTGAAACGTCTCGGAATATTCATTTGTCTGATGACAGTTTTTACCGCTCGGGACCGATTGATTTTTTAATGGGTGCAAATGTGGCGTTTGAAATTTTTCTCTCGGAGAAGCTTAAATGCAACAATATATATTTTCAAAATACCCTATTCGGTTATATTGTAAGCGGTGCAATTTCTGCTTGTGCAAATGTCACATGCAATTTTTTTGCGTTTCACGCGACCTATTCAGATCTTGAAAAAACCATGTCTCAATTTTGGGAAACTGAGAAAGTCCCTGAGATATTTCCAGAATATCCCAGCGAGCAAGAAGCTTGCGAGTCTTGTTTTCAAAATTCTCTTGAAATAATAAATAACCAATATCAGGTGAAATTGCCACTAAAACAAACTGACATAAATTTGGGGGATTCATTTTCAGTGGCTATAAAGCGCTTTGAAAACCTGGAAAAAAGATTTAGAGTTAATCCTGATCTTTTCTCACAATATAAGAGTTTCATGGATGATTATTTGAATTTAAATCATGCCAAAATTGTCAATTACCCTGTAGAGGAGTTAACTAATGGTTCGATTTATTTCATGGCGCATCACCCCGTTATAAGGGAAGACAAAAAAACCACCAAACTCAGAGTTGTCTTTGATGGCAGCATGAAATCGAAACAAAAGAAATGTATAAATGACTTCTTGTACAATGGGGCAGTAGTCCAGAAAGACTTATTCGATATTCTTGTTTGCTTCAGAACTTATAAATTCGTAATTTTAACTGACATAAAACAAATGTACCGCATGGTTTTAATTCACCCGGAACACCGGCCATTGCAAAACATTCTGTGGAGAGATCATCTCGGTTCCTTACAGTATATTCAATTACAGACAGTCACCTATGGCTTGAAAAGCTCGTCTTTTTTAGCAACGAGGTGTTTGGCTGAGCTGGCTCACTCAGAAGGTAAAAAATTCCCTCTCGCAGCAAAAGCTCTTTTAAATAATACATACGTAGATGATATCTTATCGGGTTCTGACACAATTGAAGAGACCATAAAGCTTAGAGACGAATTAATTTCTTTATTGGGTTCACGATCATTTTTTCTGCATAAATGGTGTACCAATGAACCAAACATTTTGAGTGGCATCCCTAAAGATAAACAAAATTTCGATGAGGTTGATATGAGTAAGAATAATTTTACCGTAAAAACACTAGGCCTAACTTATGATACCATTTCTGATCATTTTAAATTGTCAACTCCTAAAGTTATGGACATCAATGAATATTTAACAAAGAGACAAGTACTCAGTTTGATCTCCAAATTTTATGACCCTTTGGGGTTGGCAGGCCCGATTTTGGTGGCAGCCAAAGTAATCATGCAAAAAATTTGGACATGCAAACTTAGTTGGGATGAAGTATTGCCCGATGATTTGTTGGACATTTGGAAAAGTTTTATGAAGGGTTTTATTAACATGCAAACTTTGGAGATTCCTCGGAATTTATATTTCACAAACGCAAATAGCATTGAGCTTGTAGGGTTTTGCGATTCGTCCATGATAGCATATGGAGCAGTCATTTATGTAAGAACATTTTTTCCTGACAGAGTACATGTAAATTTAGTTTGTTCAAAGTCTAGAATAGTACCTATAAATAAAAAACTTACCATTCCTAGATTGGAACTTAATGGAGCTTTGCTTTTAGCAAATCTGGCAAAAAAGGTGTCTATCTTATTGCAATCAAAAATTGATAAAGTATTTATTTATTCTGATTCGACCATTGTACTTGCTTGGTTAAAATCAGATCCTCTGAAATTAAACCCTTATGTGGCAAACAGAAT